CAATAAATTTAGAATGCAATACAATCAATACATAGTATGAATAATATATATGTCATGTGCAATCATGTAGATAACATAAACTAAATTCATAATTTTCATATGAATTTGGACTACGAATATGATTGGATAGTGTTAATCATAAGTTGGTGTATCTTGGAAAAGAGTATTTAACATATTAGCATTATCGGTTGTCAAAAATAAAAGAAATTAACTAGATTATTAATTGATAATTGAAATAAATAGAAATAAGGGGAATCATGAATCCAATACAACATTTATATTCATTAAAATCACAATTTACTTGCTTTATTAATATAGATTAGAAGTATTATAAACAAATACAAAATCAATATTTTGCTGTCATTACATTTTAAACCTTAGTCCTCGTGTGAACTATTAGGTTTTAAAAATGTTGGCAATCTTTTGACAAAATTATTGTTGAAAAAGTATTTTTAAAAGTCAAAGTATCAAGTGGTAAGTTGTATAAGTGAGTTAGAAGTCCTAAGGTTCGAGTATGGAATGAGGAGAAAAGAGCCGCCACAATTTTGCTAGTCTATCGCCCAGCTAAGGCTCGAGCAATAAAAAAAAAAAGCTACGTCGCCACTTGTCGTCGGACCTCGCTCTCACTCGCCTATCGCTGAGCGGTCGCTTGAGCGACAGTGTATCCCAAGAAAACCTAATTCATGTTTTTCAAGATTTTTATCTGACCCATACTACCCAAAACCTCTACACTATATATATCCACACCTCCATTCGAAAAATTAGTGTTGAACATTGAGAGAAACAAGAGATTACTTCCTACATAGTTCAACCTTCTTTTTGATTTCTTCATAGCATTGAAAAATATCAACTTCACATATACCAAATACCAAAACAGATACTTTCATAGCATCTGTTAGAGTTCTGAAGATCAAGGTAGGTGACCGGAGTTCCGATTGTTGGAGAACGAGGAGTTCTCATTGATCCATAGGAGATAGACGAATTCAGAAGACCGGGAGTTGGTACAGGAGCACGCAATCTAGGAGGGCTTTGGTTATTACAGTCTTGAGGTCAGAAAGTACTAGAGTTAGTCGAGTCTGACAGTACTGTAAGTTAATTTGTCTATAGTGGACTTGGGCCTAGAGTTTTTACCCAGTTAGGGATTTTCTCCGTCAACAATTTTCAAGTGTTATTTATTTTTCAGTAATTTATTAATTGCGGTAATTCAATATAGGATAATTGTGCATGTGAATTC